CAAGAATGATAGGATTCTATAAATGTATATGTATAGGATTTTTTATGTAGTTCCACTGAAATTCTAGTTTGATGCAAATTATCTGGTTACATGCTCTGTTTGAAAATTTCTAATATCTGTAAACATTTTTACTTGAGTTGAAAAATTATTATGATTACCAGAAGGATTATTCATAACTGCAGTAGGTATTTGAATCTGTAGTTTTTTTTTAAACTTTTATAACACTTTTCTTTAACTTAATTTATTGTTTGTTTTTTGGTCTGTCTGTCTGCCAGCTACAAAACTTATAATCAATACTTAACGAGCAGTGAGCATACTGTAACAAGGTACGGTAGCGTGTGGTACCTTGTGGTGCCACTAAACTAACTAACCATTACACGGGCATAAGAAATCGTATAGGGGCCTAGGTACATGACTTTACACATTCTGGCCTATTACACGGCTATTGTCACACACAACATTTGGTCAATTATAAAAAAGGCCAAGTTTTAAGACAAATAACGGTCGTAAATTCCCAACAAATACATCACCGGGCTCATAGGGACGGTTAACGATCGAGATGAGCAATGCCGGACGCGGACTCCCTGGCTCCTCCTTTTGAGAGTCACCCACTTAGAGCTTTCTACTGTAGGCCACTACGGTCGAGAAGGCACGTTGTTGTGTCGCCGATGATGAACGTGACCGTACCACTTCTTCTGATTCTGATGAGAATTGTGACCGTACCGCTGCTGACTATGACTGCGACCGATGATAATTGTTGCGCAGTGCTCTATACTTGAATCTCTATGATTGCTGGTGTTATAACCGTCGGATAATTCGTGGCGTCTCGCGTTGTCTTCATAAACCGGGCAGATAACGTGGTTATTCCGTTGAGTTGCACCATTGCCACAAAGTATCGTACTTCCGCCTCTGGAAGACACAACTCGTCACCTCACAAATACGCCGGACGCCAATCCACTGGCTAGCACGCTCGAGGTACCAGCTCGAGACTAGGCTCCAGACTGGACTCACACTCACTCCTGGTTCTCCCCCACTCCTTAAATATCCTGGCGCTTGCATCTCGTCGCTGTGCGGCTCCGCCCCGAATCCAAATCCCGCCCTAAATTCAAATCTCCCTCAAATCATGCCCTTCCTTTATATTTATAATTCGTGAATTCCTCTTCCTATCAAATCCTCCCAACCTGCCTAAAAACTAGATGAAAGCCAGGCGTCATCTATTTTTTTCTATCTAATGTTCTATTCCGGAATCCTGATACATAAGAATCGACATCGTATGAAATAAAAAAATCAATAAAAGAACACATTAATTAGTCCGAGCTAATCAGAGCTAATCAGAACAATTCAACAGTCTCGTCTCTCTCCCCTGCACAACCTATCATTGTTAGAAAATTTTTCCCAAGTCAAATACAAAGAAACGATAACAAAAATCGCAAAAGCCTGACCCACTTAAGAACTCGTTCCATTTACTACATATCACTTCCGTTTAGAATCACGGACACCATTACACACAAAAAATATAAGATCCACAACATAGCAAAAGGACTTCCATGCAAAATGTCCCTGCGTTAACACTCGTATCATCATAGCAAAACACTCAACTCCTTATAAACTAAAAAATATATATTTACATTAATCTCCTAAAACAAAACTGCATCAACAAAAAAAAACTCATTTCATACCGTTTAACTCAACAGAGACGATTTCAAGCAGAACAAGTCCTGGATGTGACGTTGCTCTTTTTGCTCGCCTAATTAAGAAAAAATTTGTCTATATTACTTTTACTCTGCATTAACTTTATAAGCTCTGAAATTTAATTCTGACTCCTGCAAAGAAAACGAATAACATTCCTATTTTCCATTTAATCGAAACGGCTCCATTCACAATCGTAATAATCCTACCGCCTTGCAGAGCAGATAAAAATAGAAAATTCCACAATATCTTTTACCCATAAGAATTCAAGATAACAACTTACCAACACAAAGTTATTACAAAAAATCCCTCAAATACCTATCCGGAAATTTCTCCCTCAATAATTACATTTCCTACAAATATCCTGCTTTTTCTTTGGCAGTGCTCGCCTCGCGATTCCCTAGTACACTATTTATATGCACTCGAATTTACTTTATTTTTATTGCCATTTTCCTTCCATTTGCTTTTACACTTATGTCGTTTATCAGGCGTAGGTTCTTGGTTCCGTTCTCTTCGCCTCGTTCGTAGATTTAGGGGAAGGGGATGGGATTTCTTAAACAGAAGTAAAAGGAGCGAAGAAAAAAATCTTTTTCCGAAAAGGGAGCGAACTTGTCTGGAGACTTTTTCTTCCTGCATCCAGCCTAACATGAAAGGGGTTGGGGAAAGGAAAGAGGCGTAAGCTCCTGAGGGCGGGGGTAGTTGAAGGGTCGGTGTTGCGGTTCGGGTCCAGCGGTGTGGGCTGCCTTCCTCTTTGTCAACTCATGTTGACCTCTTGCTCCGTCTATGGTATGGTACGTGCGCAGGTATGTTTTTCCTGGTTAATACATGTTCACACTAAATTTTTTGCCACCCACAGGTATAGGTCATTGACATAAAAAAATCTTATCCCCAGCTCATGAAACATAAGCATTACTAGGAACATTGAAATAATTTACCAGTCTACTGGTGACCGGTCCTACAAAACGAAGTATCCGTATTAAAGTTAAAGGTCAGTTTAGATTTCGTCACAAGCTTGGACCTTAAGAAAATATATCGTAATTCACAATTTTATAACATCTCACCATGACCCAGTGGTCCAATTTTTCGACCGGGACAGCGTGACTCCGCACTTACATTCGTGACATTCGTTCCATGAACGGGGACCCATCCTCTTTTCGCACGTAACGTCCTCGTTTGATCTGGCCTTTGCCTCTCGCTCGGCCCGGTTTCTGGAATACAGTTGCAGAAACCGGGTGCATTTTTAACAACTTCGTAGCTTTAACTTAACACATTTACATTTAGAAAAAACACGCTACCTCCTTCTAGCAATCCTTCCTTCTATCTTGCTCCTACCACCGTTACTTAAGGTAACTCTGAGTGTGCACCGTGCCCCTTAATAGTCTCGAGTTATTTTTTTAGTCTCCCCTTAGATTCTATTTCTCCTTGTTTCCTCTCTTGCTCCTGACCTACCGTTTTCTGCTTAGCGAGCAACGTACCGTTTCTACGACCTGTGCTGCAGCTGCCGTTGCCGCTGTATCTTGCTGCACTAGCCGCCTGCGCCTGCCGCAGCTATTTGCCTGCTTCCCTACAGCTGTTCCTTCCTACTTACAACTCTGGCTCCCTCCGTTTACCCCGTTATTTTCGCCCTTACCTACTCTGCCACCGCGTGCGCTTCGCTTATATGCTAAATCCCTATACTTTATAATTACCTTAGATAATCCGGTCTACTTTTTCCTGTAAGCCACGCAGCTCTGCTTAAAATGTTTTTAACTGCATATATGCCACTGCTCGTGAACGCGACTCATACTGTTCGCAACAACACATCCAGGATTTTCACTACCTTAGAGTTCCTCATGCAGTTCGCATTCGGGTTCGTATGCACTATCAACGCTGGTTTACTAACCGTCATTCCGTGTAATCCTTCGCCCGCTATACATTCCAAAACTAGGTCTCTGGTGGTACCGACACTCATATCCTTCGCGAACACATTTTCACATTGCTGATTATGGCCTTTCTGTCGCAGCTGTTGGCCAGTCACGTTTTTAATTTCCTTTTGGCCACGGGAATCATCATTGCGTGCGGTTTTATTATTTGCATTACGGTCCTTGAAACCCGTTTCCCCCCAACGCTCGCGACCGTTCGGGTTTTGATATCTTTCTGTTTAAAAGTAAGCCTTAGGGAACCGAACCGAAGTCTTCTCAGCGTGGCCTATTAATTTACTGGGTTATGTCTAAAAACTTTTTAAGCTCGGCGTTGAAGTACAATAATATTTGTTCCCCTTTTTTCAAGCTTTTTACCCTAGGTTAGCATTTCGGCGCAATAATAATCTAGGTCAACGTACGGCCCTCAGGCACATAGTGAACTTGTAGCTACGAACGTCATTCCAAAAAATAAAGAACTTTCTATCCTAAATTCCGTCGCGAAACTTTTCATCTGTACGGATTTCTCTCGTCGTCATTCGACTCATCTTTCTAATTAGGGTCTAATTTATGGCTGTTTTATAACTTATTACTGCTTATACGTGCAACTGATCGTTTAACAGTTTAACTGAACCAAATAATTTCCATAGCATGTTAAAACTAGACGACGAGTAAAATTCTAGTCCAAAAAGAACATGATTAAAATTGAATCTCATCAATTATCATCAAAAATTGCTCACAAAAATCTTACACATTGCATCACTGTCGTGATTGCCCATATTTTTTCCTTGGTTATAGTTAAGTGATGGTTAATCTCGGAAAAGCAACTTTGATATAATTATTGGATTCAATCTCTGAACCACCTTCTTCTCCCGCCTCATATATTGGCACAGCTGCACTGAAAAAAATATTTGCTCTCATGCTTCTATAGTTAATATCAAATATATGAAAATAATGCACATTCAGAAATTATTATTTGCATTTTAGGTGTATCTGTAACAAACCCCATTCTTTTGTTGCTAACGCGCCGTCTACTTGGGTTATCTACTCCGACATTGTCATCTTTTTCCTCCGCAATGCTGTTTCCTCGACATCACTTACTTCATAATGCTGTTGCCTCGCCATCATTTACCTCTTCAATGCTAATCTACAGTTAAATTATATGTGAAAATATTCATGACAATCTAGTTCGATTAGGAGTCTATCAACTCTTCCGTATATTATTAGCTATCTAAGCTTTCATTCCTTATATGAGAGTATAGCATTGCAATGCCAAAACCTGTGCTCGTGAATAATATCCCTTTAATTTTCACGATATTTCAAAATGCTTCATTAACGGTGAACTAAAAATTTGCCCTAAGGAAGTGAATGAATTTGCATCGTAATGACCAATAAATTTTTTTTTCAGAACATTGAAGAACACTACGGGACCTATGTTCTGAAGAACGACGAAATGAAGGTGGGCGAGATTGGTTGGAAATCAAAATTGTACTGCGAGTTGAATTTAATAAGATTATTGTCCAAATACTATGTCCTTTGAAACGTGGGACTTAACATTTTTATTCATTATATGTTCTCAATTTGTAACTAACTATTAAGAGATACCAAACTTCAATAAGCAATTTACTAGAGTATGCAACTGTTAAATTTTGCGAGAACAACTTTCTTACAACATTTCCTTTTCAGCGAAAGGAGCGCGTCAAAATCGATGAGACCAGCGAGAAGGCATTTGAGCTTTACAAAAGAACAATGGATTCAAAAATCGAATCCCAGCGAAGATCTCTTGAAGAATCATTTTTAAAAAGATGTCACTCAAACTCGAAAAACAAAGCTATTGCAGCTTACAACAAGGAAAACCAATACGCCAGAAACGACCCTTTGTTTGAAACTGCGGCTGACGCTAAGAAAATCCTTGAAATGGTGAGTCAAAGCAAGCGAAAGTGCAATCATGTACTCATAATATCGCTGACCGAACACTCTGGGTAATTGGGCAGTGTATATTCGCTGCCAGATTGTGGACAGATATGATGATTGTGCTTACACAAGCAAATGCATGCATTGTCTTATCAGGCATGGTGCACAGAAGCAATAATTTCCATCAATAAATATTATCGATTTGTTTGAATAGGTGGCAGATATGTGCTGCAACCCAGTTAAAATTTTGAGCCGAGACCGGCGCCGGGTTTAGCCGGGCTGGTCGCGCTTTAGCAGGATGGAGCCGNACGTTACTGGGTCTCTGCCCGAGGGCCTGATTATAAAAAAGTAAGGAGTTTTAATTTAATATCTTTCTTATCTAGGGTTTCAGTTCCTCTTTTCTGAATTTTCTTCCCTACTTTGGAAGACAACGTCTTCTTACGACGAACAATTCGAAAATCCTTGTACCATCATAATGTAGCCGCGAGACAACTATAATCCTTAAACGACGTTACTGGGTCTCTGCCGGAGGGCCTGATTAGAAAAAAGTAAGGAGTTTTAATTTAATATCTTTCTTATCTGGGGTTTCAGTTCCTTTTTTCCGAATTTTCTTCCCTACTTTGGAAGACAACGTCCTCTTACGACGAACAATTCGAAAATCCTTGTTCCTTCGGGTTTTACGTTACGTTATCTTTCTAGTATTATTAGTAATATATATCGCGCATCATTTGTCAGGTTGATTGCCGAGTGGCTTACTCTAGCGGCGCGTATGAATAGGTTCTCGTCTGGTCTCTGGCGATGTAACACAGGACGATAGAAACGGCAAAGGGAAATATCTAAACACTTTCTAAATTAAGGGAGGGGGGGTTTACCCTAAAATTTTCGGATTTGGCTTTTATGGTATTTAGTATCATCTTAAAGCTGACATTCTGCCCTATCCAACGGTACCACTGCGATCACTGTACGTTAATTTATACGTTCATGACGGCTCATGAAAGGGGGTGGGTGGGAGAGTTCTTTAAGTAATTAGATAGGAACTAATTAGCTGCTGAGATCTTTAAATATAGTGTCTACTTAAGTTGTGCTGCAGTTACGTGCTTAGTCTCATCTTAAAGCTGACATTCTGAGCTATCCAACGGTACCACTGCCGTATGTGTACGTCAACATTAACGAACACTTTTTTTTATCAGACATCTATTACACGGGGAGAAGAAATCGTCTAGGGGCCTGACTATACACATGACTATACACATTCTGGCCTAATACACGGCTATTGTCACACACATTTGGTCAAGTTTTAAAATGAAATAAAAAATCAAAGTTTTAAGACAAATAACGGCCCTATCTCCATTAAATTCCTAAAAAAAATACATCACCAGCGTATGTAGGGGCGGTTAACGGTCGAGATCAGAGCGATGCCAGACGCGGACTCCCTGGCTCCTTCTTTTGAGAGTGTCGTTTTAGTTTTACTACCGGCAATGATATTACTTAGAGCTTTCTACCGTAGCACTACGGTCGAGACTGTACGTTGTCGTGCCGCCGTTGATGAACTTGACCGTACCACTTCTTCTGATGAGAATTGTGACCGTACCTCTGCTGACTATGACCGCGACGGATGATAATTGTTGCGCAGTGCTCTATACTTGAATCTCTATAATTGCTGGTGTTATCGTTGGACAATTCGTGGCTTCTCGCGTTGTCTTTATAAACCGAGTAGATAACGTGGTTATTCCGTTGAGTTGCACCACTGCCACAAAGTATCGTACTTCCGCCTCTGGAAGACACAACTCGTCACCTCACAAATACGCCGGACGCCAATCCACTGGCTAGCACGCTCGAGGTACCAGCTCGAGACTAGGCTCCAGACTGGACTCACACTCACTCCTGGTTCTCCCCCACTCCTTAAATATCCTGGCGCTTGCATCTCGTCGCTTTGCGGCTCCGCCCCGAATCCAAATCCCGCCCTAAATTCAAATCTCCCTCAAATCATGCCCTTCCTTTATATTTGTAATTCGTGAATTCCTCTTCCTATCAAATCCTCCCAACCTGCCTAAAAAATAGATGAAAGCCAGGCGTCATCTAATTTTTCCATCTTATGTTCTATTCCGGAATCCTGATACATAAAAATCGACATCGTATGAAATAAAAAAATCAATAAAAGAGCACATTAATTAGTCCGAGCTAACCAAAAAAATTCAACAGTCTCGTCTCTCTCCCCCTGCACACCCTATCACTGTTAGAAAAATTCCCCAAACTAAAACACAAAGAAACGATAACAAAAATCGCATAAACCTAACCCACTTAAGAACTCTTTCTTTTTACTACATATCGCTTCCGTTTAGAATCACATGGACATCATTACATGCAAAAAATATAACATCCACAAAATAACAAAAGGACTTCCCTTCAAAATGTCCCTGCGCTAACACTCGTATCGTCATAGCACAACACCCAAATCCTTATAAACTAAATAAAAAAAAAGATATACATTAGTCTTCTATAACGAAACTGTATCAGCCATAAAAAACTCATTTCTTAAAATAAAATCGTAACCGTTTAACTCAACATAGACGATTTCAAACAGGACAAGTCTTGAAAGTGACGTTGCTCTATTTGCTGGCCCAATTATGAAAAATTTCAATTATATAACTTTTCCGCTTTATAAACTTTATAAGCTTTGAAATTTAGTTCTGACTCCGGCAAAGAAAACGAATTACATTTCTATTTTCCATTTAATTGGAACGGCTCAATTTACAATCACAATAATCCTATCCGCCTTATTGAGTATATAAAAATAGAAAATTCCACAGTATCTTGTACCGCTGAGAATTTAAGATAACAACTTACAAATTCCTATCCGGAAATTTATCCTTCAATAATCACATTTCATAAAAATAACCTGTTTCTTTTCTGCAGCTGTGCTCGCCTCACGGTTCCCTAGTACACTTTTTATATGCACTCGAATTTACCTTATTTTTCTTGCCTTTATCCTTGCATTTGCTTTTACACTTATGTCGTTTATCAGGTGAATGGTCCTTGGTTCCGTTCTCTTCGCCTCGTTCGTAGATTTAACGGAAGGGGATTGGATTTACAGAAGTAAAAGGGGTGAAGAAAAAAATCTTTTTCCGAAAAGTTAGCGAACTTGTCTGGAGACTTTTTCTCCCTGCATCCAGCCTAACATAAAAAGGGTTGGGATAAGGAAAGAGGCGTAAGCTCCTGAGGGCGGGGGTAGTTGGAGGGTCGGTGTTGCGGGTCAGGTGCAGCGGTGTGGACTGTTTTCCTCCCTGTCAACTCATGTTGACCTCTTGCTCCGTCCATGGTATGGTACGTGCGCAGGTTTGTTTTTCCTGGTTAATACATGTCCACATTAAATTCTTTGCCACCCACACGTATAGATCTTTGACAGCAAAAAGAGTATCTTATCCCCAGCTCATGAAACATACACATTACTAGGAACTTACTACTAGGAATAATTTACCAGTTTACTGGTCACCGGTCGTACAAAAAGAAGTATCCGTATAAAAGTTAAAGGTCAGTCTAGATTTCGTCACAAGCTTAGACTAAAGAAAATCTATAGTTATTCACAATTTTATAACGTCTTACCATGACCCAGTGGCTTAATCTTTCGACCTGGGGCCGGATTATCAAAACTTCGTAATTTTTTGTACTTACGACAAAAATGTTACGTGTTACGTAGGTACACCCTAATTTTGGCATCATCAAAACTTTCGTACGCAAGACTTAGCTAAAAGCGTATTATCAAAACCATCTGGCTAACTGACCAATAAGAGGCTTTGGATTCGCTGTTCCTATAGCCCCTCTCGACCAGTGCGCGGTGCGCTTGGACGAAAGTAGGATGTGTGGTGTCAGCGGAATTTGCGATGCCTGACTCATTTGGATAAATGAGTGAGACGTTATCCAAATAGCAATGCACTTGTTGTGATAATTAACCGAAATTTCTTGCAATAAGGGTAAATAAATGCATTATTCCTATTCAAAATTAGAAGATTTTTTAGAAGGTCGCATATAATTTAGAAAATTTCGTGATTTGGAGTTGCGAATGTCATAAAAAGAAATAAATTTGTTTACAGAGAACTAGAAACATGGTTGGCTTGTCAACTTCAATATAATTTTGAATAAAAAAAGCATTAAAATATTGTTCAAGTGAACGATCATAAAACTCTTAGATGAATAAATATGGATATCAACATTTGCTTGTATATTATAGCACAAAAGGCAATTTACATTTTTATCTCAAAAGCACCGTTTAGCACGATCACATATTATATGTCGGATTATTGACAAAATTCTATCACAATTCACCGTGTTGCTACTTGCTAGTAAATCAATGCTTTCCTATTGCTTCAGCAGACACTCTAAACTTGTGCGGAACTCCACTTCCGACATCTCCGAGCAGGCGTGCAGTTACGTATCGTAGCTTCCCGCGCAAATGTTTTGACAATACCACCTCTAGAGTTACGTCATCATATCAGCACTTACGCCACTCGTAAGTCGATTTTGCGTACTTACGAAGTTTTGATAATACGGTCCCTGGACAGAGTGACTCATCGCATACATGACATTCGTTCCATGAACCGGGACCATCCTCTTTTCACACGTAACGTCCCCGTTAGGTCTGGCCTTTGCCTCACTCGCTCGCCTGGATTCTGCAATACATTTCTGGGTGAGACACAGTACATTTTTAACAACTTCATAGCTTTAACTTGATACGTTTACATTTAGAAAAATAAACACCATACGACTTCCTAGCAATCCTTCCTTCTATCTTGCTCCTACCACCGCTACTTAATTACGGTAAATCGAAGGGTGCACCGTACCTCTTAATGGTTTCCAGTTATTTTTTAGTCTCCCCCTAGATTCTCTTTCTCTTCGTTTTCTCTCCTGCTCCTGACCTACCGTTTTCTGTTACGCTCGCAACGTACCGTTTTCTACGACCTGTGCTGCAGCTGCCGTTGCCGCTGTATCTTGCTGCACTCGCCGCTTGTACTTGCCGCAGCTATTTGCCTGCTTCCCTACAGCTGTTCCTTCCTACTTACAACTCTGGCTGCCGCCGTTTACCCCGCGTTATTTTCGCCCCTACCTACTCTGCCACCGCGTGCGCGCCTCCTACTTGCTAAATCCCTATACTCTATAATTCCATTCGATAATTCGGTCTACTTTTTCCAGTTAGCCACGCAGCTCTGCTTAAAAAATGTTTCTAACTGCATATTTGCCACTGCTCGTGAACGCGCCTGATACTGTTCGTCACAGCATATCCAGGATTTTTACTACCTTAGAGTTCCTCAGGCAGTTCGGGTTCGAATGCACTATCAACGCTGGTTTACTATCATTCCGTGGAATAATTCTTCGCCACCTATACAGTCTAAAACCAGGTCCCTAGTAGGACCGACACTCTTTATAACTTATTACTGCTTATACGTGCAACTGATCGTATAACTGAACCAAATAATCTCCACAGCATGTTAAACCAGACTACGAGTTAAATTTCCGTCAAAAAAAAATACGATTGAATTTGAGTCTCATCAATCATCACCAAAAATGAGTCACATAAATCTTACACATTGCATCACTGTCCTGATTGTCTATATTTTTTCCTTGGAGGTCAATGTTGTTTCCTCGCCAGCAGTGACCTCCACAATTCTGTCTCCTCGACATCATTTACCTCTATAATGCCAATCTACAGCTAAATTATACATGAAAATCTTCATACCATTTAGTTCGAATAGGAGTCTATTAACTCTTCCATAGATTCTTAGCTATCTAAGGTTTCATTGTTTATATGAGAGTAGCATTGTAATGCCAGAACGTGTGCTCATGAATAATATTCCTTTATTTTTCACCAGATTTCACAATACTTCAATAACTGTGGACTAAAAAATTGCCTGGAGGAAGTGAATGAAATTACAATCGTAATGAGCAACATTTTTTTGCAGAACATTCAAGAACACTACGGGATCTGTGTTCTGAAGAACAACGAAATGAAGGAGGACGAGACTAAATGGATGAGCACACGTGTGTTGCTCGCAACTGCAATTGCAGCTGCGTTGGAAAAGCTGCTCGCATCAGGAGTGAGCCTCCCGCCCGGGGTCGGACCAGCCCTTATAATTGTAGCTGCGCTCCTTCCCATTGTAGATAGAGGTTACGATCTTTATTTGGAACGGAACCGGGAAAATAATTCTGAAAATAATGATGATTGAATTGTGATAAACAATTTTGCAAGTAATTATGCAAAATTATTCTGCAAATGACACTTTAATGCAAAGTTCAACGTTCTCTTAATTTATGTGCGTTCGGGGGAATTTTTGGAGATTCGCTTCTTCTGGAAGGCTCTGGTTATAAAAGTGGTTGTTCATATTTATTTTGCTAATCTATTTGTAAAAGGATTGCATGCAAGCGATCCAAATCCGTTGTTCTCAACTGTACATTAAACCATTGCACGGGTCACTGAGGATGAGACGCCTGCCTTGCTTGGAAAACTTGGATAATGACTAATTGTACATAGTGAAACTGGCCTTGGATGCTGAAACATGTTAAAAATACTAAGAATAGGATTGTAGAGCTCAAACTTATCCATTTCGACACCTCCTATGGAAATATTTCTTTTCCAATGAATCATGTGGGTTCAATGGGAGATCACACACACACAGGAGAAAATAAAGATCTATGTACTCTCTTCATTTACAATCATTTTACTTTTTTATGTTTGCATAATAATAGTAATGATGACAATGCTGACAGTAAGAATGTAAATATGGGGAGAGTCAATAGAGATTAAACAATTTAGGTAAAAATGTACATTATTTGGTGGAGAGGCCAAGTCGTTAATCGTATTTACTGCGCATCTGTCTTGGGACGTTCCATCAGTACCTCAGTGCTGGCTTTCAACACCTAAACGTGATATTCGGAAACTGGCATCTAGGGACAGTCGGCGCTTCGTGTAGGCCAGTGGTTCCCAAACTTTTTCAGGCTGGCGCCCCCTTTGGCTGCCTAGTGAATTTCTAGCGCCCCCCACCGACATATAAAAACATACGCCTCTTTCTTGAAATTTAGTACGCTGTAATTTTAAAACATAATGGTTAAACACAAATGTGTATTTCACAAATAGAACCCCATTTAGCAAAC